TATGATATGTGTTGTATCTGAATCAAGTTGTTCTCAAATCATACCTGCAATAGTTTTATTTATTGACTTATTTTGATTGATTAGAAACTTATATATCATCCCATGAATGGATTAGATAGTTTATTATATCAAGTTAACTTACTTCAGCTTTAATATCAGTCAGCAATTCATACAGATTAGCTAGTTTTTCTGTTCGTGCTCCTAACCGCTTCGTTTCTATGTCAATTGCTTCGTTCGATAACTTTTCCGCGATATCATATTGTCCTGCACAGCAGCTGCAATAATTTTATCAAAAATTATCGTAAAAAATTATAGATCGAAAGTGCTACATCAATTCAGTTCTTCATATTCTATTTATAATACGCGACTAACAGAAAGCGGGCCACTTTCCATTTTTTATCAGCTAATTCTCCCATGTTAGCATTCGATGAGGACATGAACTCTAAAGCTTGAGTATACAGTGTAGCTGCAGTAGCATATCCGCCAGCCTAAATTGAATTTAAATCTGTCAGATTTCATGCAAGTTTAATACTTAAGTGTTACAATAAATAGACTTTAGTGGATTAACCTTGCGCCAAGAACGTAACAGTTCGATATTAAATTCATCAGCAGCTAATTTTTCAAAGACTGGCCATTCTAGTAAACATCGAGCCAATCTGCTATGATCCAGCAATTTTTCTAGATGATAGGGCAACTCCTAGCGATGACACATGTACCGTATATGAAGAGTTAGATAGTTATAATTCATATCAAAATAACGGAAATAATGATGGTAATGTTGAAAGCATGTAAACGACTTCTATGATGTAATAACTAGTTCAAATGTTGATATATCAAAGTCCACCCAAAAGCTAATTGTAAGTGATATAAAACTATTGAGAATAAGTTCAATCAGTTAATCTAACTACCTTAATCCAAGAAAATTACCTCTGCCTTACGATCATAGTGTTCTACTTGTTCGAAATAGCCGGCAAGTTTGCCATGCCACCAGGTATATAAAAACTTTCTATAATCCTCAGAACTGACTTTAAAGTATCTAACATTGAAAATATGAAAGAGTGCCTGGTAAGCTATAGAAATAATTAATTTTCTAAATTTAGAAATAAAGGTGTAAACTATCATAGAATTTGTATTGGCAAAACTAGAAGTAGATTGTGTTCTGCAGTACTTGCTAAAGTAATCATAACTATTATGAGGCTTTTTACTGCTTTGCCTACAGTTTCACGATAGAATCTAGTCTTACAGGTAGAAATATTGCCATCCAATGGAACACTTTCCAAGTCAGAAATAGCAGACTGACTTGTTTTAATTTGTGAACTAATGATGCTAATAACTGAGATAGATTCTTTTCTATTCTTCAAATCGATTAGAATATGTAGCATTGCTGCACTAATTTGAGCTAAAAGCTTACTTTTTTCGAACGGCTTTGCTCATGGCGCGGTGATAGAAATCGAGTCTTCCTTCGCCACTATCGCCGCATGGTCGTAGAAATGGCTTTAGTGCTCGAAATACGACAGCCCATTTAGCAGCAGGCAATGGTTGTCTCTTAGAAGGAATCGATTGCGATTCCTCGACATAATCGCCTATAAAACATTGTAAATCATTTAGTGATTCATATCTAGTCACGTAAGCAACATACCTGGGCAGCTAATCAACCTAAGGTAGAAAAGAACTTCTAATCCAAAAGTCAATGCAGAAATACTCACTAGAAGAATTTTTCTTTTCGCTAAAATCGGTTTTACGATATGTTTCTTCTACCGTGACATGGAGTTGCTTTGATAAATCCTTTGCTAAGGTCTCATCTACATCTTTTTCTTCTATGTGCTTTTCTGGAGATATTTTTGTTACGGTAGGCAATCCTCCACTAAGATATTGCTCCGACGATGGTGGTTCCAGTGCTTCATCTTCTCCAAGTAATTCTAGCAATTCTCGCTCTAATAATCCATGGCGAGAACATTCCAACAAGCAAAGTGTTGCTACCATTAAATGTCCACCACTCTCAGCTTCAAAGCGTGTAAGGACTTGTTCTAATAATCTAAAAATAATACTAAATGAGATCATACTCTATCCTCATTCGGATCAACAAAGTTTATAGGATGTGACTTTTCAATCATGGTTAAATACTGTCATTAGACTTACTCCAACAAACCATCGGCTAATCCTTTAATCATTTCCGTAACTTTACTAAATAAACCAAAAACTCGCAGTTCTTCACAAGCAATCGATAACCAAAGTGGATTAGCCGATGCTTCCTTAGATAGTAAAAGCTCCATTTGCTTACTATCCAATCTTTTATTAAATTTGGTCAAAATTTGATCGGCAATTTCCTAAAATTTTAAATATTATTCTATTTAACCACTACCTAATACCTATAGATATAAAATAACTGATCCGATATTCTGTATCCTATTTCAATCCAAGGCGTTAGCTTTTCGCTATTTAATTCTAATCTACTTAATCGCTGTCTCTAAATGTAAAATAAATAGCAAACATTCCGCATCCTATTCCAATAGAAGAATTTAAATTTCTGTAGTTTAAATCTAACCTAGCTAATCACTACCTCTAGACGTAAAATAAGTGAGCAGACATCCTGCGTTTTACTCCAATTCAAGAACTTAACTTTCTGCTATTTGAATCTAATATAGTTAGTAACTGAGCCGATAGATTCTGCATCCTACTCCAATCTAAGGACTTAACTTTGCGCGAATTAAAAGTAATTTAATTAATCGCTACCTCTTGACGCAAAATAATAAAACAGATATTCCACACGACCGCACACACTCTATTCCGTACCCTATTCCAACTCAAGGACTTAACTCTTCGCGATTTAAATCTAATCTAGTTAATCGCTGCCTCCAGATATAAAATAACTGAGCCCACATTCCGCATTCTATCCCTATCCAGCGACTTGACTTTCTGCTATTTAATCTCTTAAACTATAAGGTAGATTCTAGGGACTGTGCTTATGCTTTAATACTGTAGAAATTTTCGAAATGAAGATAAACCGTTTGAATTTTATCAGTCATCGTAACTTAGCATCTTGCCAACGCTGCGTCTAGATGTACAATAGCTGAGCTGATATTCTATATCCTATCCCAAGGACTTATCTTTCCGCTATTTAAATCTAATTTAATTAGTCGCTATCGCTATATGTAAAATAATAGAGCTGATATTCTGTATCCTATCCCAAGGACTTATCTTTCCGCTATTTATATCTAATTTAATTAATCATTACCTTTAGACGTGCAATAACTCAACAGGTATTCTGTATCCTATTCCACGGACTTACCTGTTCGCTATTTAAATCTGATCTAATTCATCATTACCTCCAGATGTAAAATAACTCCGCAGTAATTCATGTATCCTACTTCAAGGACTTACCTTTCTGCTATTTAAATCTAATGGACCACAAAAAACTTCCTTAGGAGGCTCGATCCGTTTGGCTAAGCTACGATGGCAAGGTGTATCGTTAATCACTGAACATATAATGCGAACCTTTTTCGATAGTGTAAAGGGTAGCCAAGTAACTTGTTCAGCTTCTTTAGTTTTATCAAGCTAATAGGTCATTGAAACGGTGAATTAGCCATGCTGAATGAATATTGATGTAATAAGGAGAGAGACAAAGAATCTTAAGGGTATCTGACAAGAACCTGATTTAAGGCGTCGAAAAATAAAATGGTAGGTGGTAGGTTAGGGTTATTCAATGTAATATTGGATAATCGCACTAATGATTCAATATCGGCAGGTATTTCTCCCTACATCATTTAAAAAATATATGAATTAATCTTCAAGTAATTGTTCCATATTGCAGGCTATGATGAATTTCTTTTCACTATATCTAATTATGTTATCGTATAACCATTCTAATCCCTATATAGTCTCCAGTACTTACAACATATTTCAACTCCTTTAGCATCCGTTGTAACATAAAGCCAAGATCAGTTGATCCTGGTGCAGCTCCAATAAAATGGTAAAAGACATTCCAGCCCTTGTTACTGCCACTAAGAAATGAATTGATAACGATTATTAATACAGGAGATATTTTCATTTCTAAAGGTTTTATGTGATCATGGTGGAGATCTTTTCAAGAAAGATATTCTTAGTCCTAATTAGATGCTCACTTTGGTATGTCATGATTGCGGGCCTTATTGACTGTAGTGGCCGCACTTCGTGCTAAAACTGCACTTTTTCCAGCTCCTGCAACGCCAACTAAAACTAAAGGTACACCGGAACCTTTGGAGCAGATATAATCTTGGATCTAAAGATTCCAAAGATTCATCAATAATTATAGAGATTGGCTAGATTAGTAATAAATTTTGCTAACTATCGCGACTAAATTAGTGTAATTCCAAATTTAATATTTTACGAAATTTCGAACCTGATCTAAAATATCATCTCGACCCAATACGGTAGATGATCGCGTATTCAAGAATACCTAGGAATAAAAAGTTAATATTTGGTCATGAAGGAATGTAAACTGATCCAAATTCTTGGGAGAGTAATCAAAAAGGAAGTAAAACGGGATACATCTATATTTTATATAGTATATAGGCTACGAAGGCAGAAGAAAGACGATTACCAGTCTATGCGCTAGAAATTCGCAAAAAAAAGATCCATAACTACTAGATGATCATTTTGTCTATTGTAATATTTGGCGAATGTATCAGATCGAAGAATTTATCCGTTGATTTTCTATGAAGGATTTTCAACATATTTATACTCATATGCTGCATACAGATTCATTTACCTCATGTGCTTCACGTATAACCTCCAATTTATCCATCGGAGAATCGTCTAAAGGATACTGATGACTAATTTGACGTTTAAAGAATTCAATCACCTGTAAAAGTTCATGCTTGAGAATCTGGTATAACTTAACCTGGCTAACTATTACTTTACCAAGAATGTACCTCATTATCGTAAAATGGCTGATAATGAACTACGAGATATTTGATGTGTACTAAAATAGTTTAGCTGTTTCGTAACCTTACCGTTTTAACAAAAGTCGATTCTGGTCCTAAACCTTGAACTCGAATAGTACCGTTAATTTCATCGATTCCATTAAAGGAGCAGCTATAACTTACCACACGTGAATCCTAAAAATATATCAATAGTGTAAAGCCCATTGATGGGGATCTGCAATTTGACTAAATTACGAAACTTAATGACAATTAAATGAAAAGAACTGTAAATTTGGAGATGCTAGCAATTGGATGCTTATATTAAGCCTCTCAAAAGACAATAAATGGAAGTAACTGTAGATTTAGAGATGCTAGCGGGAAGGTGTTAATGCTAAATGTTAAGCTAGTTCATAGAGGTCAATATAATTAATTACTTTATGATCATTTTGAGCACTTTATTACGTGACTGATGCAAAGTTCTATCATCGTGTTCATTATTGAACAGCAATTATGACAGAAATAAATCGAAGTAACTAAAGCAGAACCATTTTAAAAGATATAAATGATCTATTTACTGTATATTGATTTATTAACCTAATACTTTGTCAGATAAATGATAGATATTTGGCTCTATGCTGGTACAGAATAGTCATTATAGTTTCTTGAACAACGTCGAAGCTTTAGAAATAGGATGGATGAGAAAAATTTGGAAAAGTTATAAGTATTTACAGCAATATCTGTGAAGGCTAAACCATGGACTACTAGAAGAACACCTTTAAATCTTCTTCAGGTCTTCTTCTAGTGGTCCATGGTTAAACTAAGAATATATGCTACACAATATGTAATAGAGGCGAGCAAGAGCTAGCTAGAAGTGGAGAAATACGCAAATGCTTGCACCGCGCGAATTAATTACTTAGGAAAAGAATGAACGAACTTGCCATTAAAACAAATCGCCCAAGCCTTGGAGCAGGTAAGAAGCATTAATAAAATGTATGCTCGAAGGTATCCATGCAGAATAGTGCCATGTTGTACGGTATTCAAAATATTAGGGATGCGAGGATGTGGGGAAAGTGGGGTTGTTACAATGTAAGGATAAAGTATAAAAAATATGAAGTATACCAGCAGAAACTCGGCTAAGAATAGATTGTATGTATTTCGCAAGTTTTACGCTCAAATTTTTACACCCATACATCGATGTTGCAAATTTTCTTGTACTAGCTTACCACATATGAACTTATGACATTATAATGACTTAACTCACCGGAAATCTCCCTTTGATACATGTCTTTAGGAGCTTCATCTTTTGCAATGCTTCTTCAGATGATTCGGTAAAATCATTTTTAAAATTGTTCGGTATAGATGTTATGAATTCTGGATCACGAATAAGAAATAATGCTAGAAATATTGAAAGTAGCAATCGTAAATAAGAACCAACGTAAAGGGATAATGCACTAAAACGAAATGAGCTAGATACTGGCTAGAAAGTCTTATTACAGTTAGGATTAGCTTTACGAAATGCTCCATGAATAATTTCCATTTCAGTTATAGAAGTTCCAAAAATCCATCCATACTCTTGAGCTAAATTTTGAGGTACATCGGATTGTTCAGGAATCCAACCTGAACGGTGGCTGATCAATATTTACAATAATTGATGTTTAAGGTAGAGGACGGTATAAACTATTATTACGGTACGCCCATAAATCAAAATTTTTAACATTTAAACTAAAAAAAATTTCATCATATCGCACCTGGACAGATTTAAAAAGAAAGGCCATTGATTATCTTCGTAGCATCGATCTATTTCTCCAAGGCAGATCCTTAACGTTTCTTCTGATGTAGCTTCTTTCGGCACTCCCTAGATAAATTTTAAGGAGAGAATACACGTTCCTTTGAGCTAATACCTTAAAGTCACAATGGATATTCAACCAATGGTAGACAAAATTAATCAAAAATGATAATAACGACTTGTATGAAAGGGATAATATACTGAAGAGATTTATACTAAAATATAGCAAATTTGTAGTATAATATCGCTTAAAGATTGTATGTCAATATTATTGGGGAAAAGATACCTGTAATGTAACTAGTATTGTGATTGTAGACTGTTAGCCATGTTTAGTATAATGTACGGTAGATATTTATCCTAAAAGATATTTGGTAGCTATAACTATAGACTGTAGTGGTAGAGACTCTATGCTAGAGTACAGATCACTATATACAGTAAGGTGTTGAGTTACTAATAAGGCTATAGGTAAAAATAGAACTTTAAATCATATATTAGGATATGGTTAATTCATTGTACTTTGGCTGGTGTGAATAATGTCTACATAAGTACTGTAGTCGTATCGATATTGGATTAATGATGGTCCGCAGTAGAATAATCTGACTAAGAATAGTTTAACTATGTGTAAAATAAGGTAAAAGGTTGCTATGCGGATTGTAGCTGCAAATGCTACGAAAAGTATAAAAGCATGCAACTTTAGATTATTCTGTTAGTTCGTTGTAGAAGTCTTTCGTAGTAGTATGCGGCTAGAGTAGAGCTGTGTGTAGTTAATCTTTGTATAAGATTCAATAAAGCCCTTATTTTTCTATAATATGGAATCTCGTGATTGATATATATCACAATACCATAGAGCATAGACAAGAACTGAGTAAATTTCAGAAACAATACCAAGAAGTGATTAAGGATATAATACTTTTCATGATGAGTAGAATAAAATGTTCACTAGAATTTAATTAAATTCGTGCCTAATATCAATACATGGCAAATTATACAAGTGCCCTGTAGTCTACTTGAAAGATAGGATAACACATCCATAAGTACGCGATATCATGAATTCTGAGCATTAAACAAGTAAAGGATTCATTGCCGCCAATGTATATTAATAAATACAAGCAACGGTAGCTAGAACTAGAGAAAACGTACAGTTCCTACCCTTATATCAAGTTTTATATTTTACTTACCCAGCGTAAATCACATTCAATGAGATGCAGCTTTAATTTTTCACACCATAACCTCAGTTCTGGAAACACCTAAGACGAAAGTTTAAAGTTGTGTAAGTTATAGTAATAAAAATCAATTATAATTTTCACCGTGCTCAAATTTTATCCCTAAAATTGAGATATTCAATATATACATAAGTAGTCCATTTATTATCCTTTGCTTTAGCTGAACAAACACTAAATCTAAACATTATTGAATAGCTTTGTTAGCATTGACAAGGCATTATACCTGCTTAACTAAAACTTCACGTTCTGCATGGAAATCTTTAAATGTTGAGGACACAAATAAACGAATAGTTTTCCAACCACGTCTTTTGAAAGCTGGTTTAATGTCTTCTTGATATTTAATCGATGTTGCTCGAACAGCATTCCAACATTCCATTGGAGTCGATGGCTGCAGTTCACAGACTTGTTGCAATGACATTTCTGGTACTTGTGGTAATTCTGACCATAAGATTGTAAAGGTTTCAATAGTTCCTGATGTTTTTGTCACATTTGTAATTTTACGTAAATTTGTAGTTATGGAGTGCTTATTTTTGTCTGCACTACTCCTGCTATCATTATTCTTAGTGCTAGATTTCAATGCTTTAGTATTCGAGCCTTGGACTGCATCTCTCGTTGAATGATCAGATTCATTTGTCGAAACATTTGTACTTTGGATTTGCGGATTTGATGAATGATTATTTGCAGAAGCGGACGGACGAGTAAGTGGTCGATTGGCTTCGTTGACAACTTGTAGTTGCTTTCCTGATGCACAACCCATAATGGCAGTATATAGTACGCTAGTAATTGAATTTTTGTCGAACAATTTCACAGTTTACCAATTGCTAGCATGAATGGCGATAAACTCTAGCTGAAAAAGTGATAGAAATTAAGTAATAAGAACGATAGTGTTGGAAATGAGTAGCTGGACTATAATATACGGTACGCGTATTGAGTGTAGATTATAAGATTACTTTAAATATGCGAAATCATGAACTTCTTGTGCTTTCGAAAGTACACATTTTGAACCTGTAATTATTAAAATATACTGGTATATGTTATATATTTATTTTATTTTACCAGTAATAGTTTATACTTCAAAGACACGTAAATTAAACTACTGTTTAGTACAATATCTTTCCATTGGTGAATTTTAAACTAAGTAGCCAGCCAGCAAGAAATAATAAAGAAATAGTTGGGGTATTGAATGGTTAAATTGTGTGCGATAACACCTTCAAAATTAGTAATTTATCATTTCTAACAAGGAAGCATTTACCTGTGATATAATTAGATTGTGATGTACGTATTAAATCATGCATGTTAGAGGACCTATCCATTAAGGTAATCAAGTCTTAGATTTAGATGAACTTGTCTGGTTTATCTATTAGCAGTGCTCTGGAATATATCCTCGGCAAAATTCAATACCAAATATAGTTATTATTAGACTATTGGCTAAAAGAGAGCTTGATCAGTTTTGACTTCTTATTTAGCAGCAAAAAATTCCGACTAGAACAAACGCAATATATTACTTGTATCTTCTAGGAATTGCTAAAGAAAAGTAAGAACATAATCCCTGTGTCACAATTAGAATAGCTGCATCAATTCTCACAAAATTTAACTGGGTATCATCGTGTTAAGAACACACTTTAATACAAACATCTAGCTTGTACTTTTAGCAAGTCTGTCAATTTTCATTATTAAATTAATTGGAGTATATTTTATTCTAGGATTGATGAAGAATCTACTAGCTAAACAAAGAGCTTGATAAATTTTTTCTATCTAATTTTATAATAAAAAATTCAACTAAAGCGAACCTAACATCTTACTTGAGACTTAAAAAAGTGCTAAAAAATGAGAGAGTAGTTCCGGTATCATGATTGGAATAACTACTTGACTTTGAATGAAATTTAACTGGAATGAATACTTTAATAACGTCTTATAATACTAATATCTAGTTAGTACTTTATCAATTCTATTGGAATGTAAACTTTAAGTAAATATAGTATTTTTCATTCGATGGTTGGAGAGAAAGTTATAAAGAGAGATAAAGTAGTACAAACTATCTGTAAATCTTCTTGCCAAATTAATACACAATTTCTGATGAAATCTTCTTTAATTATTTTATTTTGAAGCTGATTAATATGTTGTTATGACTACTCCATAAATCTCTGAGGCATTAACTTGAGATTTGCTGCTCACCAGTAATAGTTTCATACTGAATCCATTAGTCTCTACCATTATCCGAATATTGGGTAAGATGAATTAGACTGGCGAATTAGACTGGCGAATTAGACTGCCGAACTAGACTGCCGAATTAGACTGCCGAATTAAACGACCGATATCGGTTGTCTACACGTCTACTTACATACCCGTAAGTATCTATAAAGTAGTTCTCTACTAAATAGCATTAGTGTCAGTTATGCTTTAATACTGTAGTGGATATGAAACATCTTTACGAGGGACATGGTGAACGTCTACTTTGTCCACTACATATTCGAATATTTAACAATCCAAAATGAAAACATTCTAACGAAAATGATCATTTCATCTACACATTTTAATCATACCTATGTGTACCTTGAAAAATAAAAATTTTTCTATTACGGTTTGCTGGCAAAATTGGCCTTAATGCTTTTCGAGAATTTAATTTTTCCAATTTCTTGCCAATTGCTATTTCAAGTAGCTATCAGTATTTAACTATAAGGATTAAAATAAGAATAGATGCTACTAATTATCGATCTCGGTTCTGTTTCATTTACTCTCTCAAGTAAAATGTGATTTAATATATTCGTGATCTTTAGGAAGAACCACCTCCGTTACCATGGGGACATATAGTCGTCATAAAGTGTATCAATGAATATACTTGCATTGTAACTAGCTCATTTACGGAACGTTTAATGGGTGGACAATTCTATTACAGAAAGTTAGCTAAAAGTTTATACTGATGTTTTGCCGGTGGTATTTTAAATTGCATATGTTTCAGTTATTGCTATGATAAAGAAAAATTCAATTACAAAAGTACACATTAAATGATATGCAGCAAGATGGGCAAACTATCGGGTAAGCATTAAGTATTTTATTCCTAATTATACTATAAATAATACTTTTGACTTGAGTAATAGCTGGTATAATTAAAGATAAATAAAATTATCTTTAAAAATCGGATGTTAATGTACGCACAACAATTACTGTAAGATCTTACTCATACCATATAACAAATAGAAAATATTCTTATCAACTATGCCGGTATTGTGCTAATTCCAAAAAGATCGGTGAATAAAATGATCGCATTTTGATGTTTCATTATTCCGCTATCTTCCTCACATAATATTTCATGTTTTGTATCTCAGGAATAATTTATTTTTAAGTTTACGAGCTGTAAGCTTAATATCGGTAGTATTATTTTTGCA